GGGCGGGGTGATGTCCTGTCTGGGTGAGCAGGAACCTGTGCATCCTCTGTACTACAATGGCCACTGTCCTTAGATTTGCTATTGATTTGTTTCCCATCTGGTCCTCTCTGGGATGCCTGGGGATGGCAGTGGACAGGCAAAGGCCTATTCCACTGGGTTTGCCCGAAGAATGTTGCTCCCTTGAGCTGCAACCCCCTCGCAAACACAGCCTTAACGGTCTTTTTCAGGGACGAACCATTGCCTCTTAGCTTAAAAGCATTGTATGTCTTAACAGACACATTTTTTTTTTTGGCCTACTTTAATGGCTTTTGTGCAAACCACTATTGACTAATATTTACAACCAGCACTTACGGGTATCTTAGACACAGCCAGCATAATTAGTGTGCCCTCGCTCCCCAGCGACAGCTGAGTCCCATGTCCACTTCTTCTCCTTCTAATATTGATGAACCCTCATTCCAGTGACCAGTTGATCTCATTGGTCCATGGAGGTGCGGCCCTGAATAAGGGCAGCTCCTGCTGGTGGAGCCTGCAGGTCTCAGTCCTTTAGTACCTTCCCTCACCCACATTCCCATTAGCGCCAGGTACCCGGTGCATGCTGGGGCAGGTGGTTTACAAGGCTAACCAAACAGTGCTGCCCTGTGACCTCAGCCCAGGAAAGCTGACATGGAGAGGAGATCGGGGCAGATGTGCAAGGATCCTAAGGCAAGCAGAGTATGAAGAAGGAGAGGGAGATGGAGACCCAGTGGAGCGAGATACAGGGAAGCCCTGGCTAGCCTGGGCACACGTGGGAGAGACAGCCTTTCCGCTCAGGGGAGTTGTTGTTTGCTCATTAGGCCCCTGGAAACTTCTTTTTCTCTGTTTAGCTACAGCTGACTGGGGTGAAGAGATGAAGACCTCAAGTCCATACACCCCTTCCCCAATCAGTTCTACTATTTTTTTGGGGGGGTCTCTGTTACATTTTATCTTCTCCAAACCAAGGTTCTGAATGAAGGTATGCTCATATGTATTACGTACAGCCCCCTACACATGCTTCTGGTATCTCTAGCACGCTGTGTGTCTTCCTGTGCATCTCTGTCTGCATCACTCAGCCCACCAGCCTTCCCCGAGTTGGAGGAGCTTGTGCTTCCCAGGGCTGTTCTAGATTTTTCCCTCGATGCTCTTGGCTTTTTGGTTTTCTCCATTTGCTTCTAAGACCTCCTGAGTCCAGCAGCTCAACTCTGTGATACTTTCCCAGAAATGGCAACTAAGGAAAGTCCCAGATAGTTACAGCTCTTGTCTGATTCAGTTCAGAGAGTTTCATTCACTTCCCCAGAATTCATTTCCCCTATTTAGAGATGAGGGCAAACACTTCCCACGTTACAGTTTACGGAGGGAGCCAAGGCTGGCGCCTCGTGCCATGCCTTCCTGTTCTAAACTCAGTTCTGGGATATCCGTTTACTTTGGGGCATTAAATGACTCTGTTTCTCCGGGACTTGTGTTTATGTCAACCTTGCTCTTGGTCATGCCTGGTGCCCTTAGTAGTGGCCTCCACGTTGAGAATTTCAAGGAGGGGGAGGGGAGGGCCTTTCTGAATCTGGGTAAAGAATCCGAGCACATCCTGCTAATCTCAGGGTCTGGTGAAACTCTTTGCTTAGAGGGTTTATGGCCAGTGGGAATTGATGGTTTGTGTTTGCTTTCCAAATAAAGGAACCTCGGAGGTAGAAGAGGGCATTTTCTGTGGATCTGCTGACTTCTGAAATCTCAAGCCCTCTTCCTTATCTGCCCGGTTTATTACAGGTTTCATAAATGTTTTATGAGGGACCTGCCGAGGCTGCTGATGGGGTGGTGGCAGCTGTCCCCAACTTTCCACATTGTTGCCAAGATCAAAGGACAGATTTACCACCTGATAAGATAGTCTGGATAAGATACAGCAGATCCTATACTGACTTCTTGCCTCCATGCACACAAGCAAACAAAACCGACTAGATCTGAAGTCCCTCCCTTCCCGCATCTACAGAGACCACTGGGCCTCCCTCCCTCCCTCCCGGCAGTTTGGGCCCCTCAAGGCTGACAGTGAATCTCCCCTCATGTCAACCCTCTGTAGAATGCAAAGCAAGAAGACACAAGCCCTCCTATAAATTTAGTGAATTTATGGAATTAAAAGTCCCTGAGTGTGTCAGCCTCCGCTCTGCCGGGGCAAATGGCATTCATTTGAAAGTGTGTGCCGCGGGAGTTGGGGGGGGGGCGGTGAGAATGCATGAAAATAATTTATGGCCAAATAAATCATCTCGAGAACGTTTATATTTTCAGGTTGAGAAATTGTATTGACTTTATTTCTCAGCATTGTTGACACTGCACTACAACTGCCCTGACAATCTTCGACAATGTCCTTTTAATTCGTCCTATTACAACTGAATGCCGGGAACTCCCTTTATCACTAGAAGGCTTTAAAGACAGTTGATTATTTTTTCTTTCTGCTCCTCTTGAAGGAACAAAGCCCTCACCCCATCCTTTTGCCCCTTGTCGCCCTGCTGACATGCAGAGACGGGTGGTGGAGGAGGAGGGGACAGCAGGAACATGGGACACGGTTGGACACGGACCCTGAGGCGGCTGCCTGTCGAGGGACCAACCTGGAGGAAATGAGGGGTGTCTCTGCAAGGCTCCAGCAGGCCTTGGGCAGCTCAGCAGCTTCCAGGCTTTATACTGACTCTGCCCCAGGTAGCACAGCAGATGCCCAGGAACCCTTGACCCCCGGCCACGGCTGGCTCCTTCCCCTTACATGTGTTCTGAGGACCCCTGGGAATGCAGTTCATGAGCCAGGCCCCCATCAAGGCGAGAACACTGGAGGACCTGTGCATGCCTCCTCCCTCACATTTACAGTTTCACAGAGAACAATTTTTGGTGGCATTGCAGCCAGAGAGGGTCCCACGTGTCTCCTCACAGGCGCATCCTGGGACTCTTGCCTATGAAGTGTGCTCATCTCCCCAGCTATGTCTTTGACCTCCGTGGTCCAGCACCGTGGTCCAGTTAACAGGTGCACAGCCGTGATGCTGTGGACCTAGAAGCAGGCTGGGACTCCACCATCTTTTCATTCTTATTTGGGAAGGAAAATAAAAACACCCTTGTTCTGTTAACTCTCCCTAAGGTTGGAGTTGTCTGTTCTAGGGGCTGAAGGTCTAGCCTCGGAATGGGTCAGGCCTGGGAATCCTTATAAAGCAAATGATTCTTAGAAAAAGTTTGGGGGTGGGAGATACATAAAAGCAGAGGTTTTTTTTTTTTGTTACTGTTGTTTTTAAAAAATTTATTTACTTTTTATATGTACTGCTGCTTTGCCCACAGTTAAGTCTGTGTGAAGGTGTCAGATCCTGGAGTTACAGACAGTTGTGAGCTGCCATGTGGGTGCTGGGATTTGAACCTGGGTCCTCCGGGAAAGCAGTCAGTGCCCTTAACCACTGAGCCATCTTTCCAGACCCCTTGTTTTGTTTTTAAAGACCTATGAGAACCTTCAGAAGCATTCATGTATGCCTGAGAGGGTAGGGGGGCCTCTTCTCTAGCTGTCCCCAAATATTCCCACCAGAGCCCGGACCCCACCCCTACCATCCATGTAGCAAAAGAAGGCATCCGTAGACAGTCCTCATCTCCTCCACCGCACGGGTGTTTAATCCTTAACTAAGACATATTAAGGTCCATGGTTGCCAGCTCACAGAAAGCTAGCTGGTCTACCTCAGGATACAGGACACCATTTTGCTGCCTTGGGACTTACCTGGTGGGATGAACAATCCAGGCACCTTCTAGTCTCCTCTTGGCCTCTAGTTGGCACTGACAAACCATTCACGTCCATTCAGAAAGGCTACGGTCTATCCCTCCAATCCCAACCCCAGCTTCAGGGTAGTCAGTTCCGGTCAGCTCAGTCGGTAGTCCATTCCCTGGGTTCAGAAGTGGAATGCTCTAGATCTCAGAGAAGTGGTAACTTCCCATGTGGGTGGTGAACGGGGAGACTAGATTAGCAGAGGAATGTTCTGAGTCTCCCCAGTGGCTCCACATGCCCGCCTGGCCTGGGTTGTTTGCAAGGCCATCTGTGTGTGCTGACTGTGTTTCCTTCCTCTGAGCCTTAGGAGCCTTCATCCAGTGAGTCGTGAGCAAGTTCATTCAGGGCACGGACAGTTCAGGTGCCAGATCATCTCCCAGCCTCAGTTTCTGCATAATCAAAATGGAGATGGTGGTGATATCAATAATAATACAATAATAATAATAGCAACAATAATAAATTCCCTCATAGATTTGGGGGGTAGATATTTTATTTTTATTTTATGTATGTGGTGTCGGCCTGCATATATGTCTGTGTACCACGTGTGTGCTTGGTGCCTACAGAGGGCAGGAGGGCGTCAGGTCTCCTGGCACTGGAGTTACAGATGGTTGTGAGCTGCCATGTGGTGCTGGAAATCGAAGCCGAGTCCTCTGGAAGACAGTCGGTGCTGTTAGCCCTGGAGCCATCTCTCCAGCCCTGGAGGAGAAATATTTAAAGGTGTTAACGGATATAAAATGCTCACTGGGTCCCTGACCTGTGACGTGATATAGCTTATGTTTGTCATCATTTGGCACTTTACAGAGAGCTTCTGCTATTTCCTGTTTCCTGTGATTTTTCACAAGGGCCTTTGAAGGGGGTAGGCAGATAAGTAATTTCACAGAGAAACTGCTGCTACTGCATTGAACTCTTCGGGGTTGTCTGATGCCTCAGGAGTCTCTGATTTGTGGTTGATGATCTTGTTTGGAAAGGGTTCTAGTTCATGGCCTTAAAGGTATTTGGTACCCCCAATTGTCTGCGGGAGCTACTGTCCACCCAAGCATTCCATTGTCCCTCTGCCCGCGGCCGGCTGGTCCACCTGCTGATGGGTGGGCTAGAGACATCTCTTCCTCCTCCATCCGTGGCACTGTATCCCAGGCCATCATTCCCTCCTGGGATTATGATGCTGGCAAATGGGGAATGGGGTGCAGGACACACCCTCCACATGGCCTTTCTGCACAGACAGCACCACCATGAGCTGTATGGGGCTAGCATTCCCAGGCAGTCAAGGACCCCAGAGCGGCATCTACTGCAGGAAAGGAGACCTTTCTTCTAGGTCAGTGAAAATGTCACACGGGTGATAGATACTTGGAACACAGGGCTGTGCAGGCTCAGCCACTGTCTGGAAGCCTTTGAGTGACAACAGGAATCTCAAGCAGGTCTTAGGAGCTGAGGCGAGCCCTGGCTCCTTTTCTTCCCAGACCCATGAAAGGCTCGAGAGGGGACCCCTAAAAACAGCATCACCTCAGTGCTGTGGTGTCAGCGTCGAAAGTGAGAAAGTGTCAAGACCGACTTTGTGTTCCAGGTAGAGAGTCTCTTACACTGATCACCACTGGGGTGGGGGAGGGGCATCAGGGTTAACTGCTGGTCTAGACATCGAGAGCTCAGTGCCCCTGAAAGAAATAGTAGCTGGGTGTGGTGGCACACACGAGTAACACCAGCACTTAGGAGGTAGAGACAGGAGGATGAGGAGTTCAAGGTCAGCCTCAGCTACATAGTGAGTTCAAGGCCACGTGGAACTGCATGGGTCCCTCTCTCCAGATAAAATAAAACAAAACCAGTCAGGAGGAGAAAGAGAAGGAGGAGGAGGAAGCAGAGGAGGGAGGAGGAAGGAAGAGGAAGAAAATAACAACCAAGTTTCCTGCTTGAAGGCCGTGGCTCCTTTCAGGAGTGTGCTGAGAAGGCACAGACACTGGTCCTGAGGTCGCTCCCACGCGCGGCTGCACAACTGGGGGCCACACTGCAGAGGCAGGGTCTCTGGGGACAGTGGCTCCTCTTCCCTTTGCCTGAACACACACACACACACACAC